GGGCAGCACAGCGTCCTAGGGGCACACACTACCGTAGCTTGGCCTGTCTGCAGCCTCTAAGAGGTGCGTTTTGGAATAGGTTATTTGACATTAGCATTGAGAAGCTCTCAGTTTTATCCTCCAACTTTTTTTTTTTTTTTTAATTTTGAAAAACTTTAAAACAACAGAATAGTCGGAAGAAGGACGCAGTGACCATTCCAACACTCTTGGCCTCGACTCGCCAGTTCACACCTTGCCACGTTTGCTTCCCTCCCTCCCTCGCCGCCTCTCCTCCCCGTCCCCTCCTCCCCCTTTCCCGTTCTACTTTCTCTTTTTGTAGAGAGAGACTTTAAGTGTCTTGATTATTTTAAACATCTCAGCACATAAGTTTTTTTTTTTACATGTTTTTGCCTTAGTGTATGTGCACTCGCTGGAGAGAGAGTAACAGAGACAGCCAGAGGGGGAGTCAGGCATCAGCCCCCGCCCGCACAGGGGTATGGCCATGCCGCAACCCCTCCTCCAGTCTCCCACTGGAAGGTTAGGCATGCATGCACATGTGCCCGGCGTGAGTTTAAGCCACCACGTCTAGGACTCGAACCGTGGTTGACCATGTGGGAGTCCAGTGACATAACCATCTGCTGGTCCCTCACCATGTATCTTCTAAGAGCGAGAACATTTTCCTGTATAGCCACATTGCTGCTATCACGCCCAGGAAATTTAGCACGGATTAAATACTATTATCTGGGGCTGGGTGGTGTGCTGAGCTCCCACCATGGACGCGTGCAGTCCGAGTCTCAGGCCTGGCTGCTCGCCTTCTCACTCTCTCTGTCTTTGGTGATTGCACATGCCCGGTAGCAAATTTAAAAATAATAATGATAAAATGAAATAATTCTCTTACTTACTTATTTCTTTATTTTAGAGATTTTTGCTACAGGTTGTGTGTGCTCATTAGAGAGACAGAAAGTGAGAAATCACCCCTCTGGGGGGATGGCCATGCTGCAGTCCCTCCTACTCTGTCCTCCTCTCGGGATCTTGGGCACGCACGCACACGTGCCTGGCATGAGTTTAAGCCGCCGGGTCCAGGATTCTAACTGCGGTCGACCACGTGGGAGTGCAGCGACATAGCCTTTACACCATCTGCCGGTCCCCCACATAAGCAATTGTTTTTTAAAAGGTAGTATTTTATGGTTCATATTCAGATTTTGTCAAGAACCCCAGTACATTAATGTCCTTTATATATAGTTTTTTCCCCCAAATTTAAACCAAGATTCACAGGTTACACGTTGCTTTTAGTTGTCAATCGCATGAGTCTCCTAGAGTAGTGCCTGCCTGCTCTTCCATCTTTACGGCGTGGACATGGTCGTCCAGACCAGCTGTTTGTGCACGTCCCACGAGGGACCGGACTGCGAGGACTGGGGGTGCTGTGCTTGCCGCCCCGCACGTCGGGAGCTCACGTGTAGTGCGAGTCCTTGTTGGTGACGGAGCACGTGGCAGGGGCGGGTAATTAGAGGGACCTGTGCGCACCCCGCTCACCCACACGCTTGCCCACGGCGGCTTGCCCTCACGGTCGGCCTTGCCACTTACCCCTTACTACGCTGCCCATCTCAGAATGGTTTTCCCCAGCCCTGCCCTTCCACTCATTAGCTGGCATTATTTCTAGAGGAGCCGTACCGTCCTCCAGCTCAGAGAACACCCCGAGTCTTAGTGTCCGTCCCAGAAGCCTTTGGGCGTGTTCATCATGGGAACTCCGTGCGACAAATGTCGGGAGCTCAGGCTGTCCACTCTGCTGGGTCTGAAAACGGAAGAGAAGAGTTAGCTCATCTTAGGGCTCGTTTCTCCTCATGTTTGACTTGTTCCCAGTGGCCCGAGACCTGGCTTAACATTTTGAGACCTCTTTCTCACTCCTGGGCATCTTCTCAGAATTTAAATTTGGTCAGAAGGGTACCATGATTTTGATTACTTACCTTTTTTGCTGGTATTGAGAGCACTCACGCTCTACTTTAATCTGTCCTTACTGAAAAACGAGCAGGGCCTGGTGGTGCACGCCACGTTTATTTGGAGACCGAGGCATGAGGATTGCATCAGTGAGACTGTCTATAAAAAAATGACAATTTTTACTGCCACTTTGCTTTTTTCTTTTTCTTTCTCTCTCTCTTTTTTTTTTTTCTTAAGCTTTTGTTATAGGGCACATATGCTTGTCAGAGAGCCAGGGAAAGGGAGAAATCACTCCCTGGGGAGATGGCCACGCTGCAGTCCCTTCTCCATTCTCCTCTTGAGATTTTAGGCATGCATGCACACGTGCCTGGTGTGTTTTTCAACCCACTGGGTCTGGGATTTGAACTCTGCAGTTGGCGATGTGGGATCCAGCTGCCCTAACTGCCGTGCCGTCGGCCGGCCCTGTCTTACTTTTTCCGTCCAGTAGCTTTTATGTAGTGCTTTGGGTGGCTGTGCCTGGAAGGTGCCAAGGCTGCCTGTGGTCGCAGGAGCACGCACGCGGAGGGACTTCGCTACGTCGCTGTGTAGTTCGAGAACCAGGCATCACTGGCCCCCTTCCCCGCTCTGTGCCCCTGAGGAGTAAGTGTCCTGGAGTTCATGAGAGCAGAGACTGCTGTGTTGGGGTACCAGGGCTGATGCTTGTTCTTTATCAGCTGTGCGTCATGAGTAAATTTCTCATGCTCGATGAAATGTATTAGGTATTACATTTTTAGTGTTTTGTTTGTTTCGTTTTGGCTCTAGGGCGTCATACATGTGCTCTCCAGAGAGACAGAGAGTGAGAGAGAAATCTCACCCTGTGGGGGATGGCCATGCCACAGTCCCTTCCCTCTGGATTTTGGGTATGTGTGCACACATATATGCCTGGTGTGGTTTTCAGGCTGCCGGGTCCGGGATTTGAACTGTAGTCAGCACTGTGGTTTCAGCATCTCCACCATTGCACTTCCTGCTGGCCCTCATTGTCATATGGTGACAGTCACAGGAAGTTGGTCTAATGAGCCGTGGATGGGCAGGGACCTCCAACTAAGATCAGTAGTGCGAAGGGTTCTGTCTTGTATTTGGTGATCTTTTGAAGGTTGTAAATAGAAAACAGCTCTTTTTTGACATGTCATTTAAGTCGCATTTAAATGAAATTGAACTCCCCGAATACTGACTGAGCCTCTAGTCGAGTGTCCTGAGCGGTAACTCACGAGTGAGAAGCAGCGGCTGCTCTCGGAGCTTCTGTGTGTGTCTGCAGAGCAGGTGTGGTGGGCCCGAGGGTCTCCAGGCAGGCCTAGTCAGTCGTCAGGCCGGGCCTCCTGGGCAGATGAGGTGGCGGGCTGGGATGGGGTCGCCTCACCCGGGGAGGCAGTGGAAGACCATTTCTCATACTTATCTTTTCTTCCCCTAGGGAAAAACTAGAAGAAAAAGCCAAATTATATGAAAAAATGACCAAAGGAGACTTTATCGGTAAATACAATGATTGGTTTATACTTAATTTTCTGTAATTCATACAGTTCTTTGATTTTACATCATTTGTCAGAAGAACCGTAAGAACATGGGGAGGATCTGAAAACCAGGACTGTGTGCCCCCCATGGCAGCACAGAGACGGAACTCAGCAGTATGGGGTCCCTGGTGGGCGCCCGCTGAGGGGCTGGGCAGAGCAGCAGGTCCAGTGGGAGCAGGGACTCCGTTCCCAGGTGGGTGCTGACAGCTGGAGGAGGGCACAGAACAGAGCCCAGTTAGGCCCCAAGCCCAGGTGGAAAGGAAAAGGCTGGTGGGGTCATGATTAGAGCAGGGTGCTGGGGTGATATTTTTGTTTTCCCTATATTTCTTCTCATTTCCCTATTCTTTCCTGTGATGAGCTTATAATTGCTGTAATAGAAAATAAATCTCCCTTTTTGTGGTACCTCCAAAAAAGAAAACCCAATTCGTAATTAGACAACGGTCGAGGCAGTTTTACGAAGCAGCGAACGTTCCACTGCCAAAAGGCAGGGAGAGGTACAGGATGAGGTCGGGGAAGTCTTTCCAAGAGGGCGGGCTCTGACAGGTCTGCAGGCTTCGGAGAGCTGGAGGAGGACTCTGCAGAACGAGAGGGGGGAGTGGATAAGAGGAGGGAGAGCCGCCAGGGCTCGGTAGCCGCCTCGCCTACCTCGCCTACCTTGCCTAACCTGGAGGCCATGCACAGCCAGAGGCAGGCCAGGCTGTCCCCAGGTCACTGACTGCTCTTTTCAAACAGTAGGGCCACGTTCCCTGCGCAGTGGGAGGCCTGGCAGGGGAGACCAGGTACTGGACAGAGCCAGGCGCCTGGGAAGAGGCCCCGTCTCCTCCCCGGGGCAGCAGAGGGAGGCCGCCTGCCAGGAGGCCCCTCTAGCTGGTATTCAGCAGCTCAGCTTGGGGAGGGCAGACTCTACCTGAGGTATTTTATGGCCTTACAAAAAGATGCCGAAGTCTTTCCTCTCTTGGTCAGACTTTCCTTGTGTTGTTACAGAAGCATGGAGGAGTGTGGACGCAGAGCGCTGGCTTTCAGAGCCCACAGCCTCCTCCCGGGAGTTACACTGGGCCTGACGTTGGGGCTTCCTCACAGTAATCTGGGGGTATCACCACCACCCAGCAGTAGGGACTCACTGTGTGTCCACGGGAAAAGACTCGGGACTGGAACTTGTTTTTGGTTTTTAGAGAGATATTTGCTATAGGGTGCGTCCACTTGCCAGAGAGAGAGTAAGAAAGCGAGAAATCACCCCTGGGGGGATGGCCACGCCACAGTCCCTTCTCCTTTCTCCTCTCGGGGTCTTGGGGACACATACACACATGCCTTGCGGGAGTTTTAAGTCTCTGGATCCAGGCCTTAAACCACGGTCGACTCCACGGGAGTCCAGCGACGTAACCGTTGTGCCCTCTGCTGGCCCTGGGGACTGCAAGTTGAAGCCAGGAGAATAAGACTCCCTGTGAGCATGTTCTGGGGGTTCACGTGCTGCCCCGGGTTAGATTAAATTCACGGACTGCCATTTAACTCTCTCATGCTTTCCTCCTCGAGGAGATCCCAGGCCTGAGGGCCAGCAGGGCTTCCGCATCGGCCCTGCAGAGCCTGGCTGTGGGCCTTGCCTGAAATAGTCCCTGAGTTGAAAAGACTTTCTCCTTTTACCGGGATTGAGGCCTTTAAACCACTTACTACACCCCAGTACTAAAGTGAGGCGTAAGCAATCCAGCCCATGTGATTGAAGAATATCACACCTGTAGCAAAACAGGCCCACTCTCAAGAGCTAGTGATCAGAAACGTCGTTTTTCTATGTTACGCAAGTGGGCAGATGAGCTGCTTAAAATCAAATGAACGAGTTGCCTTAAAATGGCATTCCGAGGCAGTAGCTTATTGCCCACTCCAATGGGTACATCAGTGAGGCAGAAAACTCGAGGCTTGTTAAAGATTTCTTCTGGGGTAGGGTTGGCAGGTGGTGTGGTGGTTAAGGCACTGAACTCCCACATGGCCAACCACGGTTCCTGGCCTTGGTGGCTTGAGGCTCATGGTGGGTACATGTGCGTGCATGCCCAACATCCTGAGAGGAGAATGGAGAAGGGATTGCGGTGTGGCCATCCCCCCGGGGTGATTTCTTACCTTTCCTCTTTCTAGATCTGTTGGTCTCTCTCTCTCTGGTGAGCACATATGCCCTGTGCAAAATCTAAATGCAAAAAATGATTTCTTCTGGGGGCGTATGTTTCCGATGGCCTGTTTGTACCTGCCCTGTCCGTCTTGGGTGGAGGCTCTGTGTGTTCGTAAGCGTCAGGGGCTGGGGCTGTGGGACTAGCCGGCCACCATGGCGACGGTGTGACTGCTCCTTGTACGTTCCATGCGCAGCTCTCTCCTGCAGTGTCAGGAATCTAAAAACGGTCTTTGTGTCCTAGACGAGGAAGTGGAGGACATGTACCTCGTGGACTTCACGCAGAAGATCATAGACAGACGCAGAGAAATGCAGGCGCTTGGTGCCAACAGGGACTCGCACCAGGCGGGAGAACGGGACGACGAGGAAGAAAGCCTCTCGGAGAAAGACATTCCTCCTCCCCAAGACCCCAGCGAGGAATGGTGGGTAACGTCGTGGCGCCGTCCGAGTAGCGTTCTCGGACTCGGGTTGGCTTTCGTTCGGTTGTGGCTGGCCTGTTTCTCCTCCTCCTTCCTGGTTTTCTTTCTCTCGAGACTCCTCTTTAAATCTGACTGGATGAGGTCCTTGCAGATGTAGAAACAGCAGCTCCCATGCCGTGGAGAAATAGTCACAATGGGTACAAGTGGTGTCTGAGCACCTACTGTGTGCCGAGCGCTGTGTCGGCACGCTGTGGGGAGGCCTCCCTCGCTGTGGGGACGGTGCTCAGGTCGAAGCCTGCTCTTCTGGCACTTGCGCTGCGGCCTTGCCCAGGCCCGGGCTCGGGCACGCTGAGTCGTCCAGGAAGTGTGGTCTCTGGCAGCCACAGCGGAGGAAGCTGGCAGTGAGCACAGGACAGCTCCTTCTGGCCTGACGCTTCCTGCCGATGGTTTGTGGGCACCGTGGGACTCGGGCAGCTCCCGTTCCGCATCGCCATCGAGTTCTTAACCTCTCTGAGGCTGTCTCCTCCATTAACGCCGAGATTCCACTGCCTCGCTCCCACCCTGGTTTGCCTTAGACTCCTTCAGGAAGTACAGGTAGTTTCTTGGGCTACGCCAGGACCTGTGGAATGTAAGCAGGCCTTTCTTTTTTTTTTTCAAAAAATTTTCTATGAAAAAAAGAGAAAGTGCCTGAGAGAGAGGGAAAGACAGACAGCACCCCCGGGGGCAGGGAAGGGGACCACACCACATTCCCTCGGCCCCCATTCTCCTCACGCGCATACGTGCCAGGTGTGTTTTTCAAGCTACTGGGTCTGGGGACTTGAGCCACACAGACAGCCGTGTGCTATCTAGCCACCGTCACCACCACACCCCTGCCCGGCCCAGCAGCCCCTAGTTTTAGTTGCCAGAGGGTGCGTGCCCTTTCCACCTCTCAGGAGGGTGCGACCACACTGCAGACCTCTTTCTTCTCTACTTCCTGTCGGGATTTTGGGCACACTCAAATGTGCCTCGGATGGTTTTTTTTTATCTTTTTTAAAGGATTATTTATTTAATTTTATTTATTCATTCATTTATTTTAATTTGACCAGAGACACAGACAGAAGAAAAGTGAGAAAGCAAACCACCAGGTCCAGGACTTGAACTATGTTCAGCTGTGCAGGAGTGTCCAGCTCCTCAACCACCATGCCACCTGCTGGGCCCCCATGCCAGCTCCTCAAGCCACCAGGGCCAGGATTTGAACCACATCAGCCAGATAGGATCCAGCTCCCCCCCCCCCCTTTTTTTGGAGGTTTTTTCCCAGGGGCGTGCGCTCACCGGAAAGACAGAGAGAGACAGAGAGACAGAAAGTGAGAAATCACCCCCCGGGGGGATGGCCACGCTGCAATGCCTTCTCCTCCTTTCTCCTCTTAGGATCTTGGGCACGCACACATACTCTCCCGGTGTGAGTTTAAGCCACCAGGTCTGGGACTTGAACTGCAGTCGACTACATGGGATTCCAGCGACATAGCCATTACGCTAACTGCTGGTCCCAAGGATCCAGCTCCCTTAACCGTTGTGGATGGGGTAAGACCCAGCATACCCTTTCCCTTACGTCAGTAAGAAAGGAAGCAGCGTGGCTGGCTGTTCCATTCTCTGCCCAGGACAGTCACTGAGCAGCTCGTCCGCCAGCGCCCGATGGTGCTTGGGGTAGACCAGGACTCCGCGCGTTTCCTGGCAGGACTGCCCCGCCCCTCCTGCCTCCCAGAGCCCCCTGCCTTCCCCTTGAGGCTCCGTGCTCTCCTAGCTGGTAGTCGTTGGAACTTGCCCAGGGTCGTTCGAGACGGCGGGCTGAGAGCTGACGAGGACGGTCTCCACAGTGGATCTCAGAGAACTGCATCTTCACAAGCTGGGGTGTCCACATAGGCCCAGAGATAAGATTCTCACTGGAACGAAGCAGGTAGTTCTTTGGTACCTTCTTTTTCTTTTTTTTTTTTTTTAAGAGATATATTTTTTTTAACTGTAGGGCATCTGCATTCACCAGAGAGAGATGGAGAGACAGAAAGCGAGAAATCACCCCCCAGGGGGATGGCCACACCGCAATCCCTTCTCCTCCTCTCTCCTCTAGGGATTTTGGGCACGCACGCACGTACGCCCTGTGTGAGTTAGAAGCCGCCAGGTCTGGGACTCAAATCTCTGTAGTCGGCCATGTGGGAGTCCAGTGATATAACCACTGTGCCATCTGCTGGCCCTGCTTAGGTCCCCTCTAATGGGCTTTTAGCTCACGGACCGGCTCCGTTCGGGGTAGGGCTGAGGTGTGCGTTGCAGGAGGAAAGAGAACGCGGACTGCTGCATTGGTGCTGATCGTCGTCAGCCCTAACCGGCCCTTGCTGCGCCTCTGCCCTGGGGTAGCGCTCCGTTAGCGCACGCCTGCTCTCTGAGGCTTACCTTTTACCTGGTAACTGTACAGATGAGATACTAGAGAAAGATCGAGGCAGGCTTTTAACGGTCCTTCTGAGCCAGTGTTAAACTTCTGTGTCTGTGAGCGAGCCATGGGCACGTGCTTAACCTCCCCTGTGCCCTTCAGGGGTGGCGCGCTGTGCCTCCCCGTGTCCCCGCAGGGCTCCGGGCCAGCCAGCCCGTGCCCACCCGGTTGCTCAGCAGCGCTGCCTGCGCTCTGCCAGCGGGCCCTGCTGTGGGACTGCTCCGGGGCAGAGTGGCCGGCATTGCTTTCACAGCATGGCTGTCGTCGCCCCCGAGAGGGCTAACGTCGCTCAGAAAGTGTCTGCCTATCCATGCCCGCGTGACTACAGGCAGTCCGCCCTTGATCTGAGGAGTTGGGAGGGCAATTGAAGGTGTCACATGCCACCATATGGTGAGGGAAGTCGCACTGCCAGCAGTTCTGCCGCTTTCTTTGTTGTTAAATTAAACTCCAGAATTGGAACTGCTTGTACAATCCTTTCAGTAGCTAAGTTCCAGGTGGTGGAAAATCTTTCCACGAAAATACTGTAAATAATTACACAGACCATCTGGCTAGATGCTTTTCTTTCCCCATTCATTAAAAAAAAGCAAAAGGAGAAATTGCTTTATGCAGTGGGAGGTTTTATTTTTGGTGATTATCAGTCTTCAGATTGTAGAAATGGATTCCCAAACATTTCAGTTCGTTTTTGTTGTTGCTTTGCACATTTTTGCCATGGTGTGCATGCGCTCACCAGAGAGAGACAGGGGATGGCCACACTACAGTTCCTTTTCCTTTATTCTCGTCCTGGGATTGTGGGCCTAGAGCTCATGCCTGGCGTGATTTTCAGGCCATCGGGTCTGGAACTCAAAACGTGGTCGGCCGTGTTAGTCCCGAGCTGCAGCCCCCGCCGCCTGCTGGCCCACAGCGTGACGGGCTGGTGGTTGGCGTGGTCATTGCTAGCGAGCAAGGCCGTGCGCATCCCGACTGGCCTGGGATCGGTGAGGTGACCAGAAGCTGTGGCTTACTGTGTGCCCAGCGCCCTGCTGACAGGCTGCGAGGCCCCGCCCGTAGCCTGAGAGACGGGAAGTCTCGCTGTGGATGCGGTCACGGTGTTTCTCACAGCGGCCTGTCCGCAGGTCCTGGGGGTTACGTCTCCCTGCGCATCGTGCTCTGCCTGGCCCTGCCTTGAATTGCCGTCCAGTTCGGGCAGGGCTGGGGACAGACGTGTGTCGTTTGGGTTCCTCCCTATGAGAGTCCAGAACATGCCGTGACCTACATTAAGAGGTTTCTGATTCACTGGGAAGAATTATTGGGTTGTCGGGAGAGTCCTGGCACATTTTTGTATAGAAAACCAGAAAAATATGTCATGACTTTTCTGGTGACCTAATACATAAACTAGAAAAAATGGAAGACTAAAATGTCAGACTGGAGGGGCCAGCAGGTGGTGTGGCAGTTATGTCGCTGGACTCCCACATGGCCAACCACGGTTTGAGTCCTCCACCCAGTGGCTTGAAAATCATGCTGGGTGCATGTGCGTTGCGTACGCAGGATCCCAGGAGGAGAATGGAAATGGGATTGTGGAGTGGCCATCCTCCCTGGGGGGTGGTTTCTCACTTTCCCTCATGTCTCTGTCTCTGGCAAACACTGTGCCCTAAGGCAAAAACCTCTCAAAAATAATAATAATAATGTGGAGCAGCAGTTAGCGTAATGGCTATGTCGCTGAATTCCCATGTAGTCGACCGCGGTTCAAGTCCTGACCTGGTGGCTTAAACTCATGCCGGGCGCGTGTGCGTGCGTGCCCAAGATCCCGAGAGGAGAATGGAGAAGGGATTGCGGTGTGGCCATCCCCCCTGAGGGGTGATTTCTCACTTTTTGTCTCTCTGTCTCTGTCTTTTTGATGAGCGCATGTGCCCTGTAGCAAAAACCTCTCCAAAATAATAATAAAGACTTGGAAAGACTGAACAAGCTGAGAATCTGGCATGCAAAGCCAGGTTATTAAGATGCTGATAAAGTGTCTGGGAATATCTAAACTAGATTATGTTAAGTTTTTAAATGTTTCAGCACATTTCTTTCCTTTTTCCTTTTTTTTGGAGAGAGTTTTGTGCCATAGGGCGTGTGCACTCACCAGAGAGACAGAGAGACAAGAAAGCGAGAAATCACCTCCCAGGGGGGATGGCCACGCCACAATCTCTTCTCCATTCTCCTCTCGGGATCTTGGGCACGCACGCACACATGCCCACTGTGAGTTTCAAACTGCCAAGTCTGGGACTCGAACCGCAGTCGGCCACTTAGTCCCGCAGAGTGACCGTGACACTATGTGCTGCCCCGCAGCCCATCTCTCGGTGATGGAGCTCTGTGAGATCAGAGCCGTAAGTGGTTGTCTCTGTGGCGTGTAAAACTAAGGTGTGGTGGAGGGCACAGCGGGGTGGTTGTGTGCCGTCTCTAGCCCTGTAAAGCACGTCTGGCCAGCCGTGGTGCTCATTGGTAACACGTGGGGAGGCCCCAGGTTTGCATCCCAGGGGCTTCCTCTACAGATCCTGGCTGGCTGTGGCAGGGTGGATTGTGGCATGAAGGCTAACGCAAATGCTCCTCTCTCACTCTCTGTCTTTCTCTATCTCAATGAAGAAATAAACTTAAAGGGAACCAGCAGTTAGCGTAATGGCTATGTCGCTGGACTCCCACGTAGTCAACCGCGGTTCACGTCCCGGACCTGGTGGCTTAAACTCACGCCGGGCACGTGTGCGTGCGTGCCCAGGATCCCAAGAGGAGAATGGAGGAGAAGGGATTGCGGCGTGGCCATCCCCCCTGGGGGGTGATTTCTCGCTTCCTGTCTCTCTGCCTCTCTCTGTCTTTCTGGCGAACGCATGCGCCCTATAGCGAAAACCTCTCAAAAAAAGAAATAAACTTAAAACGGCATGCTTCTGTGAGTGGTAGTCATGTAGTCATGCCTCAGGCTGAGGGTTTTGCTTGGCAGCGAGGCCTGTACCCCTCCTCCACTGTGTAGCAGCTTCCTGCCGTCCGGGCCGTCTGTCCTGTGCAGAGCCTTCTTTCACGTCTTCTCACTTTGATTTCAGGGTGGATTATGTGGACTCTCTAGGGCGATCCCGGCGCTGCATGAGAAAGGACTTGCCGGACCTGCTGGAGATGGACAAAAACCTGCAGGGGAGACTGTAAGTGCATGATCTGCAGTGCTTCGCCCAGGTCTGAAATGCAAACGGGGTTCGCTTTGTAGGAGAGGTTGTTTTACGGTTACTTATCTTTGTTGCCCTAGAGATCTTTTTTTAACGTATGAAAACACCGTAACACTTCCTAGAGGTTGGTAGGCACTGCACCCGTAACCCACGCACTGCGCTCATAAGCCACGCCCAGGATGCAGCCCGAGTGGGGATGGCCTGTGCCGTGCGGCGATGGCGTCTGTGCTTGGAAGGGTGTCTGATTATAGAGGGGCAGACAGAAGGATCCCAGCCCAGCCTCTGTGGGAAGGAGGCTGGAAGGTATGCACCTGGTTGCCCCATGAGCTCTTGCGGGCAAGGAGGTAACTAGTTTACTTATTTTATGAAAATAGGTCTTCACGTTTTTCTTTTTTTTTGGGGGGGGGGGGGAGATTTTTTTGCTATAGGGTGTGCGTGCTCACCAGACAGAGAGACAGACAGAAAGCGAGAAATCACCCCCCCGGGGGGATGGTCACACCGCAGTTCCTTCTCCGTTCTCCTCTTGGGATCTTGGGCATGCATGCACACGCGCCCGGCGTGAGTTTAAGCCACTGGGTCCGGGACGTGAGCCACGGTCAACTACGTGGGAGTCCAGCGACATAGCCATTACGCTAACTGCTGGTCCCCACGTTTTTCTTTTAATTGCTCACCAGAGTGGCAGAGTGCAAGTGAGAGAGCACCCCCTAGTGGAGCGTGGTGACACCACAGTCCCTTTTCCTCCATTTCCCCCTCCTGTTGGGGTCTTGGGCGCACGCACACACGTGTTTTAAGCTGTTGGGGCTGGGATGCAGACTGTGCTTGGCCATGTGGGATCCAGCTCCCTTAACCATTAGGCATGGGGCCGGCCCAGTGCATGCACCGTGAAGTAAGGGCCTTAGAGTCAGATTCCCTCCGGGCTGACGTCAGATACCCGAGCTCAGATGCAGGCACCCTGCAGGTCAGCCTGAAACCTCGCGTGGCTCCCAGCCTGACCGTGTGTGAGAGCAGTGCACGCCTGGGCACAGTGTCGGGCAGCTGGCGGGTCGCAGGACCAGAGGCCTTCCAAGTCCATCCCCAGGCAGCCGAGCGTGTGCTCCCTCCGCACAGGCCCCGAGTGGAGAGCCGAGTGCCGGGCAGGTCCTGATATGCTGACGGAGCAAGCCCGGAGCATGATCAGGAAATGTGCCGTCGTTCCCCCCACTTTTCTGCGGGGCAGAGGCCTCAGACGGAGAGCTGTCACCCCCATCACTGGTGCTGCTTGTCAGAGAGCGGCTGCTGGCTCGGCCGCCACGCTCGGGGCTCACTCGCCGTCTCTCTCTAGTTTCGTCAGCCCCGCCAACGAGAAGACCTTGTTGTCTGAAGATATGAGGAAAGAGCTCCAGCGCCAGCAGTGGGAGGACGAAGAGAGGGAGGCGCTGAGGAGGCCCGTGGGGCCCGTGCATTACGAGGACATTCGGGAAAATGGTACCATTGTCTCTTTCCGCTTCTTAAGTCTTCTTCAAAAATCTTGAACTAATGACAAGCATAAGGGCGAGTATTCATGAAGCCATGGCTCTCCCATAGAGACGAGTGTGCTTTGAAGTTGCGAAGCTCTCCTTTGTTCGCTTCAGAGCCTGAAAAGTACTCCTAATTAGGACTGTCTTCCTAACAGAGGGCCTGTTACCCCGGGAGTTAAACCCAGAGAGAAGAGGAGGCGGCCCGTGGCTGGAAATCGGTGGCTTGTGCTCCTCTCTCGACAAACGAGATGAAAACTCGTTCTTGGTTTTTGTTTGTTTGTGTAGCCACCCGTTTTTTTTCTTTTTGAAATTTGTTCCAAATATCGCTGTACTTCTTTCTCACTCGGTGGGAAGTTTGACTCAAGTATAGTTTGCCAATTGGGGAAATCTGATCTTTCGGATCATTTGGTCTGATTTCAGAGGCCCGGCAGCTTGGTGTTGGTTACTTTGCCTTCGCCCAAGACAAAGAGCTGAGGAACAAGCAGATGAAGACTCTGGAGATGCTGCGTGAACAGGTGCAGATTCCGTTTGCAGCCGGTGTGGCGCAGCGTCTGAGCAAGTGCTTTCGTGTTGGGCCACACCGCAGAAACATCTAGAACGGTAGTCAGGAGGAGGGTTGATGATCAGAGGCCGTCAGCAGGTGCATGAAGGTGTTTGCCATCCCGTTGGGGTGTTTCAAACTTGGAGATGCTTTTTTTTTTTTTTTTATTTAACTTTACTTATTTATTTTAATTTGACCAGAGAGGAACAGAGAGAGAGAGGGAGAAAGTGAGAAAGCAGGCCACCAGGTCTGGGATTCAAACCATGGTCAGCCACGTGGGAGTCCAGTGCCCTTAACCACCACGCACTTACCAGCCCCCAAACTTGGGAATTCTAACGATTCAGAAAATCCGTGGAACTGAGAATTTAACTCCAGTTTCAATTGCGGTTCTTTTGGGGTGGCCTGGGTGAGAATAGAAGGTTATTTGGGGGTTGTAAGGAGCAGAATGGAATTGGCTGGTTTGCTTGGCTGTTGAGTCTTCCAGGATGCTCTGTGACCTTGTGCTGTAGGTGATGACTGGATGACAGAGGCTCCGGTACTTCCTGGGTCACTCGGGGGGTCTCATGGTAGCTTCTTAGAAGTGGCATGAACATCAAGTAATCTACCTTTAGAAGAAAATCAATTATTTCATCCTTTCGGATAGAAATTACGAATTTGGCTTCAAGCAGTGTTTTTCTCATTTTCTGCTCAGACAACAGATCAGAGAACAAAACGAGAGAACATAAAGGAAAAACGAAAGGCCATGTTAGAAGCAAGACTCGCCAAACTTCGACAGAAAAAGATGAAGAAATCGAAAGAAGATGGAGCAGAAGACGACGACAAAGGTCTGTCACGGCTCCTATTTCTGAATCCCAGAGGGAAAAGTCTTGTTCCACTGGCGTCTGACTGGCGGGGCTGGCGGTGTAGGAGCGAGCCCCTCGGTGTCCCTCCGAGGCCCTGCCGGAGCAGAGAGTGAGCCCCGTGATGAGGGGCGACTCCACACCGTTCGGCTGTCCCAGGGTGCGGCCGCAGTGCGCTGGGCTGCTGCTTCGCACCCAGGAGTGAGTAACGGAGACCCCTTAGAGAGCTTTTTAAAAATTATTTTATTTAACTGTTTATTCATTTTACTTGTTTTTATTTGACCAGAGAGGGAGAGAGAGAGAGAGAGAGAGAGAGCAAGTTAGAAAGCGAGCCACCACGTCCAGGACTCGAACCGTGGCCGGCCATGTGGGAATCCAGCACTCTTAACCACACACCACCTGTCGGCCCTGAGGAAAGGTTTTAAGATAAAGTTTTATTATGCACACACAGACTTACGATTTCACACTTGAATTTTTTGCCGTGGCTGTAGTTTTTATTGATTGTGCGTGCGTGCGTGCGTGTGTGTGTGCTTGTTAGGAAACATGCTCACCAGGTCAGGCAGTAGAAACGCGAATGTAGACAGCCTGCCAGAGACCTATGCCCTGAAGGTGGCAGTCTGGCACCCGGAGCACATCTTCCCTTGGGAACGCCGTTGAATGCTGTGGTCAGCCCGGCTTACCGGGGGAGCTGTGGTAGGATAGGTGTAGGGGCTGAACAGCCTCTGCCAGGAGGCCCTCCAGAGACTGGCCCACACGAACACCTCAGGAGCAGGGCTGGAAGGGTATCCTGGGCAGGCTGGCAGCGGTGCCCTAGACAGCTGGCTGTTCCCAGGGCTGCTCCTGCCATCCCCTGCAGCGTGGAAGGGGAAGAGAGGGGCGGGGGACCAGCTTCCTTTACAGAGATGTGTGGAGGCCCCGTACAGCCTGGACATTTGATCCCACCGGCCCGAGTTCAGCCCTGGGGGCCACACACGGCTTCAGGAGAAGCTGGGAAATCGCCTAAGTTCTATAATAAGTAGTACTTTTCCTTTCCTTTCTGTTCTGTTTTTTTTTTTCTTGAGAGACTTTTGCTATGGGGCCCGTGTGCTCATCAGAGAGAGAAAGTGAGAAATCCCCAGAGGGCATGGCCACACCGCAGTCCCTTCTCTTCTACTCTCCTCATGGGATCTCGGGCACACACGCACACACACCCAGTGTGAGTTTCAAGCCGCCGGGCCTGGGACTCCAACCGTGGCCGACCGTGTGGAAGTCCAGTGACGTTGCCACCACGCCACCGGCTGGTCCCAGTACTCGTCCTTCTAGGGCACTTCTTCCCGCCCCAGCACCGTCAGCGTTGCTGTAACTCCCTCTCCCTCTCACTGGAGCAGGCGGAGATGCCGTCGGACCTTTGCCTCCAGAACCAGAGGCTGCGCCCACGCCCCGCGCCACTGCCCAGAGCAGCAAAGTGGAGGTCATCGTCCAGGAGCGGAAGGACACCAAGCCCGGAGTGCCCCACGTGCGGGAGTGGGACCGAGGCAAAGGTACGGGCCTGGGCCCTGGTCAGACCGCGGTCGGCGCGGCACGGCCGTCCTTGAGACCTTGGGGGCTCTCCGGGTCCTGCGCTGTCCCCTCTGACGGAACGCGAGGAGGTGCAGTCACTGAAGGCCCCTGTGGGAAGGAGGGCATTTGCGGGAAGCGTGAACTCCTGCAGGAAGCCCTCCTGCTGCTGCTGCCCCAGGGGTGTGGAAGTCACGGGGCTGGCTGCCCTGCTGCCCTCCGTCCATAGCCGTCCCGGTTACGTGTGGCTGAAAACGATCTGGGCACCCGCGCGCTTCCCCGGCTCCCCCCGTGGTCCCCTCGAGCTGCGCGAGCTGCTGTCGGCTCCATCTGGGACACGGCGACTCTGCGTCCTCAGAGAGGTTTCCGAGGGGTGTTAGCGCACGCTGTTCGAGCCGACGTTCCCCAGAGCTGCTGCGAGGATGGAGACCGGAGCCCGAGGGAGGCTTGGGCAGGCCCCTCTTGCGGCTAGCGAAGGACAAAGCCGTGTCGTGTGCCGCGGCTGCCGAGGCACGGCAAGCAAATGCGTGGAGCTTCCCCCTCTCACTGCGTCTTTGAAAACATGGTCTCAGTGGATTGGGGATGTCTCCAGGCCTGCCAGCCTTCCCACAGAGCCTCCTGTGAGTCTGTTCTCATCTGGAGACACTCCTTGTTCTCAGGTTCCTTACGCTAACCGAAGGTGTGCCCGAGAACTCACAGTATAGTTCTGTTGGCGCGCTCTGTTCTTCAGAGCACGCGAGGTGGCTTTTTATGGGGGGAGAGATTTCTGCTATGGGGTGCGTGAGCTCACCAGAGAGCCAGAGAGAGACAGAGCCAGAAACCTCCCCCCCGGGGGATGGCCACATCGCGGTCCCTTCTCCATTCTCCTCTTGGGATCTTGGGCACGCACGCACGCACATGTGCCTGGTGTGAGTTTGAAACCACCAGATCTGGGACTCAGACAGTGGTCAGTCACGTAGGAGTCCAGTGACATAACCACTATGCCTTCTTCTGGTCCTGGGGTGGCTTTCTTATTTATTTATTTTATTTTATTCATTATTGTTATTATTTTAAAATCTGCTATAGGACTTGTGCACTCACCAGAGAGAGAAAGAGAGAGAGAGAGAGAGAGAGAGAGAGAGGCAGGCGAAGCAAGCCACCAGGTCCAGGACTTGAGTCGCCATCAGCCATGTGGGGGTCCGGCGCCTTCACCACCACACCGCCTGCTGGCCCTTGAGGTGGCTTTTAAGAAATCTATGAAACAACTGGGGACAGCCAGAGGCACGATGTTTAGGCAGCTGCTCTCACACGGCTGACTGTGCAGCTTGGGAACATGCCAGGCACGTGTGCGTGTGTCATGCCCACGCTGCTGGAGGAGGGGAGGTGGGGACTGCTGCGTGGCCGTTCCCCGCTCGTTGTGGCTGCTCCCACCCCCGCGCTGTCTCTAGCGAGTACACGTGCACCCCGGCAACCAAGTCAGTGTCTTCAGTGAGGAATAGTAACGAGCTCGGCCGCGTCGTTGGTCAGCCCTCACACTGCTCTTCCTTACTTTCTCTAGAGTTTTCCTTCGGGTACTGGTCGAAGAGGCAGTCGGATCTCCGGGCTGAGAGAGACCCCGAGTTTGCCCCACCATCGGATTACTTTGCGGGACAAAGGAGACCCGCTTCCTCCAGTAGCCAGACGTGGAGCAGGCCGGGGCCGGCACTCGGCGACCCAGGGCAGCAGCGCTCTGACCAGGGCCACGAACCCAGCTTTTCCCAGGGGCCGTCCACCCCGGCCCCCGGCAGCCCACCTGCAGCGCCCCCGGTCACCTTCCAGACCCTGGATGATATGATATCGTATTACAAACAGGTGACATGATCGAGCGGACAGCCGACGTGATCCATCCGGTCGACGGCGCCCTCCTCCCCCAAAGACTGGGCTGTTCCGCGTGCTCCTGTCCTAGAAGGCACAGACTTCAGGTGCATCTGTCTGCAGGGAGCAGCGGGAGCGGCACTGGGAGCCCTTGCCCTCTAGCTGTTCCTTACAAGTGTAGAGACGCACTTGTCCGCACTAGGAGCTGTGACAGTAACCCTCCCTCTAAAACTCGCACCGAGCCGTTTCCCCGGCTCACACCCACTCCACGACTGGCTCACGCTCGAGGCCCGCTCCGTTCCTTTGGCAGATACTCACATGCAGGTGTCCGTTCCAAAGGCCCAGCTTCCAGACCAGTAGGGGGAGCCTGGACCAGGAGGACTGTGCCTGGCACATGGTGGCAAGCGAGGGGCCACTGCGGGAGGCAGGGCGGTGTGGAGTCCCGGAAGACCCTGGCGCTGGCAGTTAATGGTAACATTGGACACGCGGAGGGAGACCAGGGAGGAGCACGTGGTACCAGAAAGGGAGACGTGCAGTTAGTTACTTTACTGTCGTGCACCCGCTTCCGCCACGCCCCAGCCGAGCAGCACACGTGTGTGGAGTGACTGGGGCTTTTGGAGGCTGCGGGGCCTGGTCAGGGACGAGTGCTCCCAGGCCTTGATAGATAGCGCTCTTCAGCCCGTCCTGCCTCCCGGCCACTGCCACTTAGGTCCCCAGTCACAGGGGCCTCGGCTGGGTCAGACTTAGGCCTGCGTTGACTGGAACGGGGAGGCCCCCGTGTCGTTACTGGCTGGCAGGCCGGCACTGTGCTGGGCCCTCTGCCCGTCCCCTGCCCGGCACGCCTCAGCATTCCCTTTACGCTGCAGGCAGGCACGCGGGACTTGTCACAGCCCCATCTGCCAGCCCCAGGGTCCTGTAAGGACGTGGCAGCACAAGTCCTGGAGGTCTCCGAGGTAGGGGAGGGGTAAGAAAGTCCCACCTGCCCTGGCATTGTCTGCTCCCCCACTGTGTGACAGGAGTGCCCCGTCCTTGTCTCCGATGACCCTGGCGTGTGAGGAGGGTCAGCGACTGGTCTGAGGTCATGTGGCACTCAGGCAGTGACGTCTGATCTCCGGGCCCATGCCTTTCCCAGTGCCCTCTGCTGTCTGGTCACCCCAGAGTCGAGCCACCTTGGCCAAGACCCAGAATTCTTACAAACTGACCTAAACCCACAGCAAGGGCAGTGTTTATCAGGCTTCATGACCGCTCCGTCACCTAATCAGGCACGTACCTCTGTTAATAAATGTACATTCAAACCAGCTAACCCGGCTGCCTTAGACATTAGAAATTGGTTGTAGGGGCCAGCAGGCGGCATGGTGGGTAAAAGGCACCGGCCTCCCACATGGGCAACTGTGGTGCGAGTCCTGAACCTGGCGGCTTACTCTCCCCCTGCAACTCAGTCAAATTAAGTAAATAAAGCTAAACAAAATAGTTACTTAAAAAAAAAGAAAGAAATTGGCCCTAAAATTCATACGGAAATACAAGGGACCCAGAATAGCCAAAACAGTTGTGAAAATCCGTTGGCATACTCGCGTGTCCTGACTTCAATACTTAATACGCTGCAAAGCTGCAGTAACGCAAACAGCAAGGTCCTGGCAGAAGAATGCGCAGGCCAGTGGAATAGGGTTGAGCATCCGGAATAAGCCTGGTACCTGTGAGCATTTATTTATTACTGCCTGAGCGCTCGTGCACCTGCAGGAGGGGAACTGAGCAAGCGCAGCCCAGCGAGGCACGGTGACGCCTCAGTCCTCTCTCCCATTTCCCCGTCCCGTCAGAATTTGGGGGATGCAGCACATGTGCCCAGAGTGTCCGTTCCAGCCGGGGTCAGGGTTCCAACTGCAGTCGCTGTGTGGAATCTGGCTCTGTCCACGCTGCTTACCTGCTGCACTTGGGGCTGCCCCTGTGAGCAGGTGTTTTTGACAAGGGAAAGAACAGCCCCTTCAACCAGAAAGAACCAAGCACCCTATGCAAGTGAATGAGCTCGGGCTTTTATTTATTTATTTATTTTTGGAGAGGATTTTGCTATAGGGCGCATGCACTTGCCAGAGACAGAAAGCGAGAAATCACCCCCCGGGGTGGGGGGGGATGGCCACGCTGCAATCCCTTCTCCATTCTCTCGGGATCTTGGGCACGCACGCACATGCACCTGGCGAGAGTTTAAGCCACCAGGTCTGGGACTCGAACCACGGTCAACTACATGGGAGTCCAGCAACATAGCTATTACGCTAACTGCTGGTCCCTGAACGTGGACTTTGAACCTCACACCATATTCAAAATCAGCTCAGAAATGGAGCAAAGACCTGAGTGTGAGAGTTGAAGCTAGAAAATCAGCTGAAGGCCTGTGGGACAGGGAGGAACAAAACAGCCCATCGAGAGTACGAGAAAGCCAACCTAGATGGAGACCGGAATAATCGAAATAGAACAGAAAAGGAAGGACACAGGCGGGCACGAGGAAGCTGAGAGAGGACACGTCTGCGAGGCAGGGCAGGCTGTGAGAGGCAGGTCGTGACGGGGCTCACCAAGCCAGGCCACAGCCGGAGTGCGGGGCCAGTGGCCAGGGGATGGTCCCAGGAGGGGCCCCCTGTCACTCCCCAGAGCACCGAGGGTGGGCAGTGAAACCGCTGTATGCCCTGGCTCAAGGTCACCATTCTAGTAGCAAGTCGTGCTTTCCCTGGGATTCCAGAGACAGCCTGCCTCCACCTCCTCCTGGCAGCCCGAGTCAGGTTCACTGTCCCTAGTTCTGGCCTTCGTCGGGAACGACAGGGCACGTGGTGCTCCTTCTCATAGGCCTGTTCTGTCCCAGTGGACCCAGCAGATGGCACCAGAGTTCTTAAGAGTTCAGCGTACTCTAAAATAGCAGTCCGACAAATAAAGCCTTTTCTAGGAACCATGTTTCAAAAGGAAAACCAACTTTTAAATAGATTTTACTTAGCCCAGTATATCCAAAGTATCATTTCAGTGTTTGTTATCAGTACATAGAAATTAAGATATTTTATATTTGTCTGCGTGTGTGTGTGTGTGTGTGTGTGTGTGTGTGTGTGTAGGGCACGTGTACTTGCCAGAGACAGAGAAAGTGAGAAATCTTTACCCAGGGTGGACGGCCATCCGCAGTCCCTCCCCTTCACTTTTTCCCTGGGATTCTAGGCGTCCACACACGCACCCGATGTGATTTTCAAGCTGCTGAGCCTAGGACCTAACCTTGCGCTTGGCCATGTGGTCTGAGGTCGTGTGTCACCCGCATGGCACGCCTGGCGCTTAGAGACAAAGACTGGCACCTGAACCACCACGCCACCTGCTGGTGCCATTTCTGTCACACTAAGTCTTTAAAATCCCCTGTGTATCCACCTGGCGCATTTCTCAACGTAGATGTTAACCTCTCATTTCCTGTCTAACTCCAAAGACACGTGCACACTGGTCACCTCTCAGTCCTTCCTCCAATTCACCATCTCTCAGTCCCGGGCACACTTGCACATGCCAGGCGGGAAGCTGTGGGGGCCAGGACTCAAATCCTGGTTAGCCACGTGGCCTCCAGCTTCCCTGCACAGCACTGAAGCCCCGGGTGATGGGGCCTGTCCTGGAGGCTGACTTTCATCAGGAATACTCAATCTGTATTTAGTTTTATTTGTTTTTTCTAAATTTATTTTTTAAAATTTAACTTTATTTTAATTCAACCAGAGGGGGGTGAGAAGAGAGAGAGAAAAAAAGAAAGTGAGAAAGCGCACAGTCAGGTCCGGGACTCGAACCACGGTCGGCCATGTGGGCCACCACGCCACCTGCCAGCCCCTGTATTTAGATTTAATGAAATAGTTAAACAAGTAGATTTAGATCCAAGTTGTTCCAGACATAAACATGCTTAAAGATTTCCCAGTGACTAAATCCGATACGATTTTTTTGAGAGGTTTTTGCTATAGGGCGTGTGCACTCACCAGAAAGAGACAGAGAGACAGAGCAAGAAATCACCCCCCAGGGGGGATGGCCACGCTGCAATCTTTTCTCCTCTATTCTCCTCTCAGGATCTTGGGCACACATGCACACGCGCCTGGCGTGAGTTTTAAGCCACCGGGTCTGGGACTCGAACTGCGGTCGACTACATGGGAGTCCAGCGACATAGCCATTACGCCAATTGCTGGTTTCAATCAGATATGATTTTTACATCTTAGTGAACTTTCCCAGTCGTGCTATCCTCATTGCAGATGCTCAGAGGGCACATAGTCCCATACCTCCGTACCGATAGTTTTTACACGCATTAGGGTCCCCCTCTACGTAATCCCATCCTTAGTAATGAGAAGGTTGGCAAATCTCTTTCTCCCAGGTGTGCACTAAGCACTCAGGATGTTCTTAATTAATTATTTTGCTATAGGGCACGTGCGCTCGCCAGAAAGACAAAGAGAGACAGAAAGTGAGAAATCACCCTCCAGGGGGATGGCCATGCCGCAATCCCTTCTCCTCTCGGGATCTTGGGCATGCACGCACACATGCCCGGCGTGAGTTTAAGCCACTGGGTCCAGGACTTGAACCCATGGTTGGCTATGTGGGAGTCCAACGACACAGCCATTATGCCAACTGCTTGTCCCAAGTACTCAGGGTGTTCTGTAGCTGTATTTAACTTGGGAGCAAGCAGTGACAACACCCTTAGCACACGCGACCATGCCCATCCATGCCTCTGTGGAGCTAAGCGGAATGTCTGAGCTCGGACATGGCCTCGGATGATTCGTTTCCGTTGTAGTCTCTCCTCCAGGCCTTCGTGTGTTTTGACACACTTCGTTGGCGTTGGCTCAATACATCATTTGGTTTGCTTGCAGAATTCCCCAAGGAGAATATTCAAATGCACGCACACGAGATTTCCTGCTGTTTAACTGCACATTTGCCCGCGACTAGAGGGATCCCTTGTCCCCTCTGAAGGCCAGAGCAGAGCCTGCGGACCCTTGTGACATACAGATGAGGTGGTAGAATTTAGAACCTGCCACGGGGCGGGTACTGGTCTTTGCAGTTAACGGGACAGAGAGCAGCCCCTCCGTACGTGTATCGCTGCCTTTGAAGCCGAAGACTGAGCCAAGCTGGTTCTACGCCAAGCGGTTCTCGGAAACTACATGGCTGAGGTGAGTGATGAGAGCGGAAAATAATGTGTAGCCCCGCTAAAAACAGAAGGGGAAACTGCCCGCCTCCCACACCTCCCCTGCCTGCTGGCTCGCGGAGGCCCGCCTGGGTAGGCCGTGGACGCCGACCTTCATGTTTAAAGGGTATGGGTTGGAGCGAGGGATGGGGCTGGTGTGATCGGAGTCTGTCATTGTCCAAGGACACGGTAAGTCAGAATGTCCGAAGGCAGCAAGGTGTCGTAGTGAGACCTGTCACCCGGCCTGGTCCTGACGCCCTGGCCCGGTGCGGCCTTGTCCATCCTGAGCTGTGGGTGCGTATACACACGGCGCCTGTGTGCTTGTCCAGCGATAGTGTGCAATATTCTGTCTTTTTTTGGAGAGGTTTTTGCTATAGGGTACGTGCACTCGCCAGAAAGACAGAGAGAGATGAGAGACAGAAAGCGAGAAATCACCCCCCGGGGGGATGGCCACGCCGCAATCCCTTCTCCTCCATTCTCCTCTCGGGATCTTGGGCACGCACGCACAGGCGCCCAGCATGAGTTTTAAGCCACCGGGTCCGGGATGCGAACTGTGGTCGACTACGTGGAAGTCCAGCGACATAGCCATTACGCTAACTGCTGGTTCCCTGGAATATTCTTTTACACCCCCAGTCGAACAGCTGCTTTCTCCACTCTGTTTCTAACTGCCGGGTTCTCCTACCTCCACAACCTCACAGGTTTGGTGGCATTTCGGCCTGGTTTGAAGCATTTTCTCTGGGATGTGTTGTAGTCTCTGTCTACTCGGCCACTCTCAGTAACTGAGCTTTCCTGGCCTTGAACGTGGGGCGTCTGCTTCCCCCTCACCTCCCTGCACACGGTCACGGTTATCCAGCTTTCATTTTGTTAGCGTGTTTATCTCCTCTACGAGCTAGCTAGCACCCTAACAGGGTCTTCGGCCCAACCCACCCCCAGTCTCAACCAGCCCTGGGTCAGGTGCACACGGTACTCAGGGAGGGCTGCGGACACAAACCCAGGA